AAAAAATTTTATATATAAAACATTTATGTATTTATAGTTCAGGATGATGTTTTGATTGTATATATCTGACAGTATAGTCCATAAGGATAAGCATATGGAATACAAGTTAAAGGTCTATTAAAATTTAAGACTCCAGAATTAAGCCCTTAAGTTTATGGTGAGCCTATTCTGAAAATAATAACAATACAATTCAATGGAGGAAACAATATTATTTTCAACAAATGGTACTGGGACATCCACATATGTGAATGAAGTTGAAACCTAATCCCCTCTCTTCCTCTCTCTCTCTCTCTCTCTCTCACACACACACACACACACACACACACACACACACACACACACACACACTATACCATGTGGCATATATTGTGTGTGTGTATATTATATATGTGTGTATATATATATAATATATATATTATACACATACACACACTTCTCAACTCCAAATGGATCAAAAACTCAAATATAAAAGTTAAAACTTAAAAACTCTCAGAAGAAAACACAGGAATAAATATTTGTGACCACACATTAAGCAATGGTTTCATAGGTATGACAACACAAGGAAAGAAGGCAATACTTAGAAATCATAAATCTAGTAAGAATGAGTACATCTAAAGAACTCTTATAAGTAAATAATAAAGACAAATAACTTAAAAATGAGAAAGGATTTGAACAGATATTTCTCTAAAAGGTGACAAAAAGGAAATATGGGTACATGAAAAGATAATCACTATAATAAATCATTAAGGAAATAGAAATAAAAACTGTACAACAAAGAAATCATTTGATACCATTTAAACATAATAATAGGTATTGATAAGGATACGGAAAAACTGCACCCTTCTTACATTGCTGATAGAATTATAAAATGGGGTATCAAGTTTGAAAAACAATTTGATAATTTCTCAAAATGTTGATTACAGAACTATCATGATTCAGCAATTATACTTCTAAGTAGTTATTTAAGACAAATGAAAACACATGTTTGCCTAAAACACTATTCAGGAATATTCACAGGAGCATACATAATAGTCAAAAGTGAAAAAAAAAATGGGGAAAGAATATGATGGAACAATGAAATATGATTCAGTCAAAAAAGAAGAGGAATGACGTATGCATGATATAACATGAATGAAACTTGAAAATATTATACGAAGGGAAAGGTCATATATTGCATTGCTTTATCTTATGACATGGACAAGATAAACAAGCCATGGAAATAGAAAGTAGGTTTTAATGGTTGGCTGGGCCTAGAGATGAAAGAAGGTAGGGAGTAGGTACAAGGTTTCACTATAGGGTGATGAAAGGGTTTGGAAATTAGACAGTGGTGATAGCTACACTATTCTGTGAATAAATCTTCTATTCTGTATACATTAAAAGGGTTAATTTACAGTGCATGAATATTAGCTCAACAAAGATGTTATATTTTATGAGAACAAATAATAAAAACCTAAATACTCCATAACCATTAAATAAATCAAATCAGAAGTTATAGCTATTCACACAGAGATGACCCACACTCACACCCACTTATGCATGACAACAGAGAGAGCGCACAGATAGCTTTATAGTGAAACCTATGAAATATCCAAGGCTCAGACTTACTCAAATTCTTTTAGTAATTCAAAAAGAGGGAACCACCTTAGTTCATTATGAAGCTAGTAAAGCTGACATGAAACCAAACAAGATTAGCATAAGAAATAAAAATACAGACCAATTCCACATATAAGCACAAGTGCAAAACTCCTCAATAAAATAACCCCCCAGATTGAAACAAACAAGGAAGAATGTATCATAGCCAAATTGCCTTTATCCCAGGATTACAGTATAGTTTAATATAAGACACTTTCTGTAGTTCAACAGACTGAAGTGAGAAAAACTATATGATCATTTCAGTGGATGCCAAATATTCTTTACAATAATATTCAATACCATTTCAGGACAACAGAAATAGCAAATCCATACACAAGAAATAGAAGGGGATTTCTGAACCTGATAAAAGAAGCTGTATATCCCAAATTATAGTACTCAAAAATGAGGAAACATTAGAAGTGTTTTTCTTAAAAATCAGGATGTCCAATGTATAGTAAATAAATCATTCAAAAATATAACAATTGTAGTTAAATTTAGGCTGCAATATAGATGTCTTTTTGAGGAAATGCAGTGAAGCTTGGTGAGGAGATTGCTATAAGAGCAAGCAATGATTTCTAGACTATAGTTTCTCTGCCTGGTGAGAAAATTTCTGATTTGAGCTGCCTTCTCAGAGGGTATAACGTCTGAGGTGACCTTATTTATGAATTTCAATAGGTGAAGATTTTCCTTCATCTTGAGATGAGGTCTTAATTTTTCAACATCAGAGGGAACTGAGGTAATGTTATTTTGAGATTGGGTAAAACAGCTACCATTTTTATTTTTATAACAGGTAGAAAATTCAACATTAAGAAGAAGGAAAGTTACACTTTGAGAAGATTGCTAGCTACTGAATTACAGCTGTAGAATAGTTTGTACCATGCCTTTAAGAATTAAAACGAAGGGAAATTTTCTTAACTGGTCTCTTTCTTCAGTATCAGAGAGAATTCCACTTTGGTCATCAGAAAAGCTAGTAATGGTCGGAAGAGAATCAAAGGCTGCTGTGTTTTGTTGATAGGAGCTTCTCTCTATAGAATTCCGTTGGAATGGGTAATTAACTCTTGTTTCAATCATTAAGTGCACAGAACTATATTCAGGAAGAAAAGTACTCGTGTATCTTCGCATATCAGTAATTCTTGAGTTTCTAGAAATGATTTCAATAAATGTACTCTGACTATGTGACTGAAGATCAAAATTATTACTATCATCATAACAACTAATCATACTTAGTCTAGGGCTAGAGTATAGTCTTAGGGATTTGAAACTAAAGTAGCGTGAGGGTTTTAAATCACCAAAGCTTGTTTTTTCTTGAAAATCAAAGTTAGCTCTACTTTGCTGATGATAAAGGTAAGTGTTGCTTTTCTGAAATTTAAGAGATAAAGAACGTCTTCTTTTAGAGAAAGATGAACTCTTAGGTACATTTGAAGGAGATAAAACTTCATTTCCTTTAGCTGAATTGTCTGTCTGCCTTGAAGAAGATCGACGACTTTTTTTAAGATGAGAAGGTATAGTTGACCCAGTTTTAGAAGGGGCTCTGGGCTGTGGGCCTGAAGTGACTTGGTCTGCACCATGCTTTTGATGCTTTCGTGGGAAGCGCCAATCCTCTTTGCAGCAGCTAGAGTGAGAGAAGCGTCAAATGAGGAAAAAAGATAGGGAGTGAGGTAGAAACTTGCCAAATCTCCTGGAGAGTAATATCTACCTGATCGCTATGGAAACAACTGAGAAAAAGAAAATGCTGGCAGGTGGGGTTGATAGTCACACAGAAGGACCCCAAAAGAATGTCTGAGTAAAAAAACAAAAACAAAAACAAAAACACCTACACAGTACCTCTCTATACAATACCTACTCAGTCTGATAAACCTGGGGAAGGTAAGTTGAAAGACTCACAGAAAAAGGCTGAAAGAAAAAGTAGGAAAAACAACACGAGGCTCCAGAACTAAATGTTCCCCAAAAGAAAGAAAAGAACTTCCTGCTTTAAAAATGGTAATTCTATCAGTTCCAGACTATTAAACCCCTACATGGGAGGAGTTAAACAGAATAAACGAGTATTTTGTTGACTAATGCATTTTAAAATAGTAACCATGGATGAAGCAGAACCTCTCTGGAAAGACTATTTCAGCTGATTATTTGAATTATTTGGGTGTTCAGTTATTGTGGGAAACTAAAGGAAGCATTAAAGCTTGGTTTATGAATATTTCAACATTCATTAGCACGTGAAACATAAAAGAAGGGGTTTTTCTCCTTAAAGGCTTACCTGAAGCATTTTCCCATACTGAATTTAGTAAAAATACATCTGTCCCTTCTTCACTAAGCCGTCATCCTTAAGTCATAAAAATGCCCTGTGTAGGTGGAATGGGTCAGAAAGTGAATGCTTAAATTGGATGTGGAATTATTAGCATGGTAATAGCACAGAATGTGATGAGAGCAGACTCTAGAATCTAATGACATCAGCTTAGAATAAAAGTCTTCAGGTGCTCACCTTTCTGTAAAGTTGCAAAGCACATGACTGTGGGATATATATTACAGGTTCAGCATGTCCAGAGTCAGCCAACAGAGCAGAGGGTGCAAAAACGGCAGGATGAAGGCAGTGACATCCATGGTCTCTGCAGAAGCCTTATCTTGGGATTCTCTCTCATGTTGCTCTCCACACCGCTGGTCTAGTGTCACCTGAACACTCTCTACTTCAGGTTTCCACACTGCCAGTAATATGGAAAAGTGACTGTGCAGACTTTGGTCCAAAGATATACTGGAAGGGAAAGGGGGAAATGGCACAGATAGCAAATGCCACTGCTTAAATGAAGCACGTTGCACCTACGTTGGCAGTAAAGTGTATCGCTGGCCTGCATGAACCAGAAGCACAGAATATGGATATTTGCTCTGCAACTCGAAACAACTTAAACCCATTTACAGGCAAGCTTAACAGAATTATTACAAAAGAAATACTGCTGTCTCTTTTTCCAAAACAACTTGGAGCACTGCCCATACAACAGGTGTGCACAGGCACACAGACATAAAATGCACCCTCAAATACAAGCCTGAGTTCTCAATATCCTACTTTGGGGGTATCCTTTGGGAAACTTAAATTCCTTTTCAGAGGCCTAAAGCTCTCTAATTCCCACCATACAACTGTTAGTTTGTAATTTGATTTTATACTACATACAAACTAATGAATCAATCTGTTACTATTCTATGGGTACAGAAGATACACAATTATTAAGTAAAAGACAGAGGACTTTATTACTCACAAGCACATCAAGCAGTGTGATCCTCAGAATATCACATTGGGCCTCTTTGGCTTCCGGTTCCACAAGGTCCATGCAGAGGGCACAAGGAGTTTTGCATTCATAATTAGCAGTGTCACAAAAAAAAGGACACTGAGCTTAGGGAATCTGCTACTTTTACAGCAAGCATGCTGTAAAACATGCTAAGCCTACTCTTGGCTATGTGAGAAAACATTACCTTATTCCTCAGCGTTTCTTACCACAACCCTGAGAAATGACCTGGCTAAAACGGGCTCACACAGACCTTTACAACCTTCACAAAAATAGCACTAAGTAGATCTCAGACTTAAATGTAAAATTATAAAACTACTAAAAATACGTAGATGTAAACCCAGATAAACCTGGGTATGGCAGTGACTTTTTAGCGATATACACTAAAGGGCACAAACCATGAAAAGAAATAATTGCTTTCTATAAAAAACAATGGCAAGAGACTGAGAAGCCAAAGGCTAAGAGAAAATGTTTGCAAAAGATACATGTGATAAAGGATTATTATCTAAAATGTACAAAGAATTCATGTAACTCAACAATAAGAAAACCACCAACCTGGTTTAAGAGTGATGAAGGACCTTGACAGATACCTCTGAGTTAACCAAAGATGTTAACTCAGATGCCAAATAAACAATAAAAGAGGTGTTCCACATCATATGTCATCAGGGAGATGCAAATTAAAACTGCAAAGTGGTAACTAGTATACACAATTTAGAAGAGCTAAAATCCAGAATGCTGACAACACCAAATGCTGGTGTGGATACATTAGGAACTTCCCCTCATTGCTGGTGAGAATGCACAATATCAGAGCCACATTTGGCATTTTCTTACAAAACTAAACATACGCTTACCATAGGACCCAGCAATCACCCTCCTGGGTTTACCCAAATGAGATGAAAACTTATGTCCACTCGAAAATATTTACACAAATGTTTATAGAGTTGTCTTAATAATTGCCAAAACTTGCAGGCACTCAAGATGCCAAGATGAAGATGACTTTCAATACATACATGGATAAATAAACTGTGCTGTATCCAGATGTTGGAGCTATCAAAGCATGAAAAAACATGGAGGAAACTTAAAGGCACATTGCTAAGTCAAGGCCTCTGAAAAGGCCACATTATTTACTTTATGATTCCAAGGATATGGCATTCTATAAAAAAGCAAAACTACGGAAGCCGTAAAAAGGTTGGTGGTTGCCGGGGATGGAGGTGGAAGGCTGTCAGTAGGAGGGATGAGAGCAGAGCACAGGGCAATGAGAATATTCTGTAGATACCACAGTGATAAACACATATGATCATACATTTACTGAAACCCATTCAGTGCACACCAAAGTGGACAGAATGTAAACTTGGTGACTGATGTGTCACATCGCAGGTGCATCATTCCAATAAATATGCTGCTTTGGTACGGGGGGAGGGGGCTGTGTAGGCAAGTGCGGGATAGGGCCTCTGAGCAATCTCTAGAGCTTCCCCTCAATTTTGCTGTGAAACTAAAACTGTTCTAGATAAAGTATTAACGTTTAAATATCAAGGAAGTAAAGTATGGTTAGGAACTTACATTCTTGGCACACAGAACAAGATGTGCAGGAGAAGCTAACCTATCCTTCGTTCCCCCTTTCTCGTGAGATCATTGTCTGTGGTTCATAATAATGAGATGATGAGCACATGGCAGGTGCCTATCTGCTGTCTATATATCTTCTTTGGAAAAGTGTCTATTCATATCTCTGCTCGTTTAATTGTGCTGTCTGGTTTTATTTTGTTGTTGTTTATATATTGTGGATATTAGCCGGTTTTCAGACATGATAAGCAAATATCTTCTCCCATTTTATAGGTTATCTTTGTTTTGATGCAGATTTGTTGCAGATTTCACTGTAGAAAACTCTTTAGTGATGCCACTTATTTCTATTTGTTTCCTTTGCTGTTGGAGTTGAATTCCTATTTAGCAGTAGGTGGTCTGGCTTTACTTTATGTTACCCTTGTCGTTACTGCTCTGATTATCACTGATTCCAGCAAATGTCTGTAGACCAGAGTCACAAGTTGTCAGTGAGGTGGGGGAAGCGCATGAAGAGGAAAAGCCACTGTTGCAAACAGCCTGGATAGGGGATCAGGATCACGTTTATGAAACTGCTGATGACCTTTTCTTCGACAGTGCCAGATCCAAGACTAAGTGCTCTGCTGTGAGTGCACCTCGCCATGTCAGTATGGGTGCTGAGAGCTGCAGTGGGGACTGTATCCTAGAGTGCTTTCTCTGCTCCTCTCCTTGCTGGGAGTCCTGTGCAGAACATGCTTTGTTCTGATGGGCTTGGCCTGTGCAAAGGGCATGCAGTTCCATAGTGTCTACTTTTCCTCCCAAGAGCCCTGGGTGGGTGGTACCCTGCCCTCTGTGTCTCCTGCCCTGAACTGCCAACTATGCATTCCCACCCGTCTTCCATCACACCAGTGCTTGGATCTCCCTGCCGCCCTGGCCCTCTACTGTAGTGTGAGGTCGTCTCTGAGGTGGGGTTGGTTTTTCCTCACTCTGTGCTATGGGATTCTCAGAGTGACATCTCCTTCTTGCTAATTGTTAAATATTCCTCTTGAGAACAAAGCGAAGAACCTCCTCTAGTACCACCATGTTGCCATCAATGTTAAAGTTTCAATATGTTTAGTTTTTCTTAGTAACCTTACCAGCTGTTACTTATAAATCTTACAAATCCTTCTTGAGCCCGCACAAACCATTTGTTTATACCATTACTTAAAGGTAATTAAGTTCCATAATTAACTTTTCTTATTTGTTCTAAACTTATCATAGGCCCCTTCTCTGAAATTAAAAATAAATTTTTAATCAAGCCTGTGCTCAACTTAAACAGGGCCTTCTTGACTAGAGGCCGTTCATCTCTTCGGCCTATATTGGTCTACACTGCAGAGGGCGGCCCTCCCCGTTAGTCCACGGGCCTCCCCTGATTAGTCATTAGTTTTACTATGTCCTTTCTAAGGATATAAAATTGCACAAAGGACTCCTGAGGAAGTAACACCTCAGATTTACAGAAAGATAACCTAAGCAGAGGCTCATCCTCATCACTCTCAATGCTATGTTGGGATTTTTGTCTTACTGTTGTTTTCCATACTCTTAGTAGTTCACTTATTTTTTCAAGTTCCAGTTCTGATTGAGAACAATTTTAGATTCATTTCAATTATGCCACTGAACCCAATTTTGAATCCAATCTACAACTTTCTTTTGTTTACGAACACAAACTTTTAATACCTTCCTGTCCACCAATCACATTTTAAGAGCTTCACAGTCATATATGGCAAGTGGCTACCATACAGGGCAACATTTTCTGTCATCCTGGAATTTCTACTGGACATCACACGAATAAAAACAGGCTATTCACTTTGGCAAATAATTACTGTTTTCTTCAAAACGTCTATGTTGCCACTAATCCTGTTATTTACATTCCTTTTGTTGATGCAGTATAAATTACCTGAGGTATTGACCACTACTGAATATGGTTTTAATTATAATGTAAATGAAAATAATGACTTATTTTTATATCTTGTTAATAGTAGAACATATGAACAGAAAAGCATAAAGAAGTACCTAAATATTAGCAATTAGGCAATGGATAGTTAACATGGGAAGCATCTTAGAGAAACTTACCCGCCTTCACTTTCTGCATCTTCTGAACTATTACTTGTTGCTGAACTTTGAACTGTGGCAATCCTCCTTTTTCTAGCTCTGTGCTGAGGGCTTATCTTGTGAGCTGTTATCTTCCCTCCAAGTTCACCTTGTATATATTCCTCCAGCTTTGGAATGGTTTCTTTAAGAACTCTGATTTCCTCCTTGAGTTCTTCCATATTCGTCAGGACTTCATTTAGCTTTTCTAATATTTGAAGTTGTTTTCTTTGAAAGATCACTGCTGTTCCTTGACCACTATGCATTTTATCTTGAAAAGCGACTGAATCCAGTGTGTTGTCCAGAGAAAGAAAGGTAGGTATGTTCATTGCTGTCCTTGGTTTACGAACCTTGTGATACCACAAAAGCAGCAAGCTGATTCCAGTGGTTCCCACCATGATGCCGAGTATCAGTTCCTTGTTTGTGGAATGAGGCATTGCTTGCTTTCTGTTTCGAAATGAAAAGCATAAAGGTAAATGAACATTGTTTCTGGTTTTTCCTAAGACAAAATTAGAACTTTGTTCATCAACAAAAGCCAAGTCTACATGATCAAAAAAGAAAACTTCATAAATATTAAGTCATAAACTTACATATTTTTGAGTGTTATATATAGTGTGTGTATATATATATGAATATATATTTTGAACATAGTGTATGTGACTCAAAAAAATACATTAAGAATATCACTGATGTCTGAATTTAGAATTTGTATTCTGTATGACTGTTCTCAATTGTACTCTTTGCTATATATTTATTAAAGATATGACAGAGAAAAAATCACTATACATTTCTAAAAAACTAAGAATTCAAATTATTCTGAACTGTGTCCAAACACTTAATTTATATAAAATTAATCAGTGTTTTGATATCTGGATATTACCTAATATTTAAAGAAGACTATGAAGAAATTCTTGTTTATTAGCATCTAATTTACATTTGTACTTAAATCTAGAGTGACAGAAAACATTTTTTTTTAAAGCCAAAGGATTTGGAACATAAAATATATATTAAAGATATATTTTAGTTGGTAACGCATCTCCTTTGCTCTGATCCAGAATTCCTCTGCTCTGCACATTTCTATTTCTGAATTTAAAATACTCTTATTTTCTTTAAAATTTTTACTTTCTTTAAGTAATAACAAAAGTCACTTATTTGACTCCTTTCTCCTTTTGAGCTTTTTACATCCAAGGCCCAAGTTTTAGCTCATCTAATTCCATATAAATTGAGTTACTTTAACCATAAACATCATAATCTTTCTTCAGTATATTCCATTTTAGCTATTTTTATTACCTATCTCTGTTCTTAAAATTAAAGGAAAGTAACAATATAAAGCATTTATGAGATCTTAGAATGGTAACATTAGTATTATGACAAATTTTTGTGATTAGAGTAAAATATAAGACTTTTTGGGTAAACTTTGAAGTTTCCAGAATTATTTTCCCACCCATTACCCATATTTTGTAAATAGGTAAACAGCTGTGTTAAATTATGTCAACGATTTGGGAGAAATGTGACAAATAATGGAAAACTGTCCATTATAAGAAATTAAACTTGCAAGATTTGGAGGGGGAGGAGGTTGTTTTTCCTAACACTTTCACAAGGAATTAATTATTACAACACTGTCACCTCTGATCACTGAGAAAAGGAAACACATGAGGTAAATCCTGTTATCGTCGGATTTCTAACTGGAGGCAACTTCTGGAGTAATGGCACAGGAAGAGATGCACTGACCAGAGCATAGTCATCTTGCTGAGGTAGATGGATCAGAGTTCAGGGATCAGAGTTCAGAGATCAGAGAGCAGAGAAACGAAAGCATCTAGAATTTGTGCAGCATAGTACTGAAAATGAGGGTGAATTAACTCTAGAAATATGCATGGGGATCTCCTTGAATCCTTAGCTGAGTAACAGCCTACACACACAAAAAGTGAAATCCTAAACTGCAGACAAAGAACAATCTCCAGGGAAAGAACAATTACCAGCGAGCTATAATCCAACTATTCAAAAAGATTCTAAAGAACTAGGAAGTATTCAAGTTCCCACCAGTCACAAAGAGTGCTTGTATTTTACAATGTATTTTACATGAGACTTTCAGTTAGAGACCTCAGAAAGGTAATGTCTTGGTAATGGGGTTAAATGAACCCTAGAGCTAAGACTACTTAGACTTACCCTAGATAGATATTAAAAATGAGCTCCAAAAGATCAAACTAATTTTAATTGCCTTTAAGAAGAAAGTCCCTCTTTAAAGGAACAGAACAAAAGCTTGAACTCAAAACTTAAGTCACTATGTTGATCATCCAATCAAAAATTACTGAACATGTAAAAAAGCAGAAAAATGGCAGACATGATACAATTAACAAAGCTCTTGAAATAATTATTACAGATATGTTTACTAACATAATATCACAATTAAAGGACAACATAAACATGAAGAGAGAAATAAAAGGTATTATACAGAATCAAGTAGAACTTCTACAGTTGAAAAAGAAGACATCTGATAAAAAGTTTACTGAGTGGGATTAAGAGCAAAAGAAACTCTGGGGAAAAAGTCATCAAACCTGAATACACTGTAATAAAAACAATTTGTTGCAGGGTAAATGTTTATGTCTCTACCCAATTCACATATTGAAATCCTCAAGTCCAAGGTTATAGTAACAAAGGTGACTTAAGAAGGTGATTAGAGCCCTTACAAAAGAAACCTTAGAGAAATCTCTTTCATCAAATAAGGTTACAGTGAGAAGGTGCCATATATAAATTAAGAGGTGGGCCTCAGAAGACACTGAGTAAGCTGTGACCTTAACTTCGGATTTCGTAGCCTTCAGAATTCTAAGGAAAACATTTCTGTTATTTATATGCCACCTAGCCTATACCACTTTGTTATAGCATGTCAAATGAGTTAAGGTAACATCCAATATGAAGAATATGGAATTAAAAAAATAAGGCTACCAGAACAAAATAGTCAAACAAAACCTATTGGACAATATCAGCAAATCTAAAAGCTCAGATTTACAGGATAAAGGGGGTGTACAACATATTTGAAGGAAAAATGGTCCCAAATTTTCTAATCTGGGCAAAATCACAGATACAAGGTCAACATAATCTAATCACATTATGAAGCTGCTGAAAGTCAGTGATAATGAGAAATTGTACAGCAGCTAGTGGGGGATAAAGGCATTGTGTACAAAGATAAAAATGAAGAGTGGGAGCAGTTAGAGATTCAGACAAGTTATTTCAATATCTACTCAAGCAAGAAAACAAGGGAGTGACATCTTTAATGTGCTGAAAGAAACACTCAGCTTACATTTCTAATGGGGTATTTTCAAAATTGAAGGTAAAACTATAGACTTCCTCAGACACAGCCTGAGCGAATTCATTACTAGTCAATAGGCACTATAAGAAATGTTAATAGTGTTTAGGTGAAATAGTAACAGATTGCAACCTGGGTCTGCACAAAGAATGAAGACCACCAATAGTGGCAAATACAGAGATCACTTTTCTTATTTAAGACTTCTTCACAGAATATTTCCTTATTAAAACAAACAATGATGACATATCATAGAGTCTATAACATATATAGATGCTTAAAAAAGGACAACAGCTCAAAGAATGACAAGAGACAAAGAATATACTGTCATAAGGGTCTTAAATAAGTGCACTATAGTGTTGTAATAATATAAGTTAAAGGCAAGTAATAATACAAGTAATAAGCAAGCAATAAGTACATTGTTAGTAAACTGGTGAAACAATAAGTAAACTGTTGAAGTAAAGGAAGGTTTGAGAATTTCCACCAGTCATAAAAGTGAGAAAGCAAGGGCAACAGGTGGTCTCCAGTACACATGTACGGGGCTGGCCTTTGCTTGCAACCATTCATTCAAGTCATGAAGAAAAGGGCAGATTACATAAACAGATTCAGAAAGGTGGGGAGATAAGGAGCTTATGAAAGTTCTCTTTGATGGGGTCATTGTTTTAAATGAAATCAGAAGAATGAGTGTTTATTTTGGAAAGATACAAATTCTGACTTTAGTTGTATACCTGAAATGTGGCTTCTGATGGCTTCCATTCTATGACTCCAAATAAACAAAACATAATTGTTTCTTACATTCTTCACGGACAAATGAATGTGAGGTTTCACATGGAAGTGTATGTAAGAAATGAGAATTTAATTTCCAGAAGTTTGTCTAAAGGATTTCTCTTTAGTTTCCTGAGCAACAGACTACAATGAACACAGGGAATATTCTATTTGATATTCATGAAATGTAAGCAAAGACTAGTGACTTTAAAATAATAATTCCTGAGAAATTATCTCAGGTATTGGTGAATATTATATCTAAGAGAACTAAGACTTCTCTTAATTCAGGCTCCAGTAAAAGCCTATTTACTTAATCTGATTTGTTTAACTTCAGGGTAGTTTACCTGGTGTCAATGTTTTTTAAGCCAAAATCAGTTTGACCTAACTGGTGAAACTATGAACTGTTAAGTCTAACCATTAGTCTACTCCCATCCTATCCAGGAGATACATCAAGCAGTACATTTGGATCAATCTGTATTTCAGGTTTAAGTTGTAGGCAATTATTACTAGTCGCTCGATTTTATTTCCACAAAAAACTTCTAGTACACTAAATCATTTTGATAGATTATAACAAAAAGACATAGATATAAGAAAAATCACTGCATGCCCATAATTTACACTGGGATCACATTTAATAATCATGCATCAGCTGTCCCTGGTGGTGCAACAGATTAAAGCACCACATTATGAAGTCCCAGGAATCCACTGCAGCATGAATTAAATCCCCAACCAGGAAGCTGACTCACATGGTATGGCAGAATCTCTTTTGACCTACCCGCTGCTCCCCTCAGCAGTGCACTTTGTCAATCTGCCTGTTCTGCTCCTACTCTGTCTCTGGTGAATCCTCTCATCCATCACATCTCTGGCCTGTACCCCAGTTCTGTAAGCATAAATAAATAAATCTTAAAAAAAAAATCATGCATCAAGATTGATTGGGCCCTCCCTGGTGGTACAAAGGGTTAAAGTGCAGCACCATGAAGCTATCTCAGCCACTAGAGCACAAGTTTGACCCCCAGGCAAGGAGATGACTGATGATGTGGCAGGATGATGTGGCAGACCTCTCCTGACCGGCCCACTCTGCTCCCCTCAGCAGTGTACTTGGCTGATCTGCCTGTTCTGCTCCCCACTGCCTCTGGTGAATCCTCTCACCTCCCACACACCTCTGGCCAGTACCCCAGTTCTGTATGTACAAGTAAATAAATAAATCTTAAAAAGAAAAGATTATCTTGGGTTTTTTCCTTCAAAAAGATATTAATATGCTGAATCCTTAATGAAGGATACTCATATGCTAATTTGGGGATGTAGTAAGAGGAATATTCCTATTCTAATTGCTTTCTTGGTTATTCCTGCTAGGCCTTCCTTGAACTTCACATTCAAACAAACAAACAAACAAAAAACAAAAAAATGCAGTCTAGTTTTTTTTTTTCCTATTTAGTAAATAATTGGAAATAAAAAAAAAATCTACTTAGGAAGGTACTCGTATCCCTGAGACAGCACCAGGTTTAAACAGGGAGGGAAAAGAGTATCAAATTTAGTTTGACCTTTGGAATTATTCCAATTCCAAATGACCTTTGCGGCATATTATCTCTATTTTGCAGATAAACTAACCCAGGCACACAGCTGTCAAGACAGCTACTCAGGGTCATCGGACTCCCGATGCAGGATTTAGACAGAGGAGATTGCTGACTACACAGAGATATCAGAACTGAAGGATGACTTCAGAACTATGAAAATCAACTGGGAAAAAAACTGGAATCAATGCAGCAGATATTTATTTTACATATCTGCAATTAAAGAGTAACTCAAACTCAAGCTGTGTTTGAGTTTTCTGTCCGTATAAAATGAATGTGCTTCTAGACCATTAATTTAAAATCTCTCACTTGTGAGAAACAGTAGTGTAGGAAAGTAATAAATTAGAACATTTGCTTACCTGCAGTATAATGTCAAAGGTTGTATTATTTATGTAACTTATATAAACTACCAAATTAAAATATAAGCTATAACTTAGTATTAAAAACAGTGACCAAAAAAATCTAAGGATAAGGTAATCAGATTCTAAGTATTATTTTAATTAAAAGTTTACATTTGTAAGGCATTCATAGTAACAATGGAAGATGAGACACTTCAATATAAACTATTGGCATCTAAAATTAATGTAAATCATTAAGGTTATTGCCAGAGAACCAAGAATTCTACTGAAATAATAAATCATCAAAATGTTGGGTTTTAATTTTACATGATTCTTTTGTAGAAACTGTCATGAATAATTAACTTCCCAAAAGTTAATATTTAAGTTTTGTTTTATAAACATTATGCTTTACCAAATTAACTGTAACCTTTGTCAGCATATACCTAGCATATATTAGCACCAGCGATTTTTAGGGAAAAATGTAAACTCAAGCAATGTAAAAAAATTTTTTTGCAATAAGGGGGCCAGAACATTATGGGTTATAGCCAAGTCTGAGGTTTACATTTCCCAGGAGAATTATCCTGAGGCCTCGAGTTAGTGATCTGATCGGATTGCACACAAAGACCTGCATAAAGTGATAGTTTCCAGGTAAATGCTAATACTCATATTTCATCAGGTTTCCATTATTTTTCCTATTTTATAATTTATCTTAAATGTTTGGCTTATTTGCAGATATCTGTCGCATTAAAAACCAGGTCTTTTTGTATACAAGTTAGGAAATATGATTAAGAGCAAAACAAAAGCGTTTGTTGGCGAGTTAAGACGCTGGGATCAAAGTGAGGAGCGGGCAGGTGCTTCCGGCAGAAGCTCTTTGGGGTTTGCAGGGACCTCTCGGGCCGTCGCAGCCCTCTACCTGCTCCCCACGGCCCCCACAACGGGAGGCCTGCGCGGAAATACCCGCGACCAACCGGGTTGGGGCTTCGGAGGTGTAGGCTCCGCGAGGTGGGCGCCAGGGCAGCCCGGTAGCCCGCGCCGCGGCGGGACGACGGCACAGCGGCGGTGGCAGAGGGGAGCGCGCGACCCGGAAGTGCAGTGACTGCCACCGGAAGTACTCGCCCGCCGCTGCACGACCCGCCGCGTCCGGCTGGCCTTTCCCTCCCGCGCTGCCCACCCGCCTCCGCACGCACCTGCTTCACCGCGCGGGCCTGTCTGCAGTGGGAGGCTGGGGGCCTGCTACCGGTCCGGGCCGGAAGGGCAGCAGCGTGCGGAGTGCAGCCCCACAGCCCGCGGGTTCCGAAGTCCGGCACGCGGCCGCAGCGTCCTGACCCAGATAGCGGAGGCGCGGGGGGTGGAGCCGCGGCCGCTCTCCTGCGGCTCCCGCCTCTTCACGCGGGGGTTTCTGCTCCCTCCGGGCGGGCGCCTGGCACACCCTGTACGGTAGAGGACTGCCCAGGGCCGCCGCTGCCCAGGGTCGCCCCCAGGCTGGTCTCCCCACCGACCGCTGCGCGCTGACTCGGGGCCCGCGTGGGGCTCGCAACCCCTTTCCACCTCCCGGCCTGCTGGGCCCCATCGCTGCTGCTCCCCAGACCCATCCTGGGTGGGGTCCTTCCCAGGCTGTTAACCTGCTGTTCCCCTTTCCAGCCTTCCGTCGCTCCCGCAGAACGGAGCCAAACGCACACGTCTTGTACCAAGGGCTCATAAACCCAAGTGACGTTTTCTAACTTCATTGTAACTCACATAACTCACATTCACCTTTGAAGTGTGCATTTCTCCACCCTGTTCACACACATACCCCACCCTGAGGTGACATGGGTGAAAATCACAACCTTTGCATTTATTTGTCTTAACACTGCAGATTTTAGACAGCTTCACGCTCCGTAATTTGTATAATGAAAATAAGGTATCTGCCAAATAAATTTAAAAGCTGCACCGTCTCTTCTGAGTTGTCTTGACTTTGAGCATTATTTTAAAATTAGGCTTACATAAAACTTAGTCATGATCCCTAAGTTCCCCACCAACGTACTCAAAAAGTGTAAAACTGCTCTCTATAAAACTCAGAATACTAATTTTACAATCTGAATAGTAAAATCAACAACTAACAAAGTACCCCTCGCCCTGGTCTCAAGGGTAGCAAACCAGAGAGCTGAGGTACAGCTGGGCTGACCTTGCAAGGAATCTGCGGCCAAAAACAACAAAAGTTGTCTTTGGGCAAGTTAGTAACATCAAAGAGAGACCTCAAGGTTCATATGACATTGCTAAAACTCCCAGTTCCCTGAAAATAAGGCTCTAAATAAGGTAAATATTAACAACCCTCCACGTATTTGTCAATGCATAGACATCACATAGATACATTAATTGGACGTCTGCCCCAGCTTTCTCTGTAAAAAATTCTTGGAAATGTAAATTGTTCTTGTTGCAGACGAGAAAATTCTCATTGTAGGCACAGAATTTGGACAGCTTTCCCAGAGCTATCAGGAATCAGTTCCTGGACTAGAAGCTGCAGGCTGGGTTCTTTAATAAGCTCACTCACTTTTGCTTGGCTCTATTTACTTAAGTCAATAACACAGTCCTATTTACTGTTAGCCATTTAAAAGGATTTTTAAGACCACGATTTTCGGACATTATACAGGCTGCATTTAAGAATAAGACAAGCCACAATAATTGTATAAAAACAGTTATATTTTGGAAGACAGCAGACACATACTTGGAAGATTTTAAACTAGGAAAGCATTCCAAGAACCACTTTCATTTCCCAATGTTATGGTTTGCAAAGATACAACAGGATGGTAACATTTGCTCTATTTAGTCAGAATATAACTATATCATGTAGTGTAGTCACAGGTTTCTCTATTTTTTTTTGAAATTTTAAGTATAGATCTTTTAAAACTATTATTATTATTTAAACAATAAATTTACAAAAAGAAACTTTATTGACTCTTTAGTAATATTTAAAACAAGTCTAAAACACCTTGAAATTTTTAAGCTCTTCTGGAAGGAATCCACTCAGTTGTTCCACTGCTGCATCCCCCATACATAACATAGAAGAGGCCTTTAACACAAATTTGGCCTGTGGACTGAAAACAGGGCCTTAGCTAACAACTCTGTGGTAAGAGGAAGGTGAGGAGCTGGTAGTGACTTGTTCTTCAGTTCAGGAAATTGGATCAAAGAGCTGGCTCTTTCTGTACAACTGTGATAGCTGTTTCTCTGCCTTTCCAATACCTCTGTTCTATTCAGAGTAAACTTATCTGAGTGGTAGAAACTCAGATAGTGGTAGCCATTGATCTTTGGCACATTAAAACCAAACAGCACGAAAATATACAGAGAACTGATGAAACTCAACAAAAATAAACAACCCCATCAAAAAATGGGCAGAAGAGCTAAAAAGACACTTCTCCAAAAAGGAAATGCAGATGGCCAACAAGCATATGAAAAAATGTTCAACATCACTTGTAATAAGGGAGATGCAAATTAAAACCACAATGAGATACCACCTCACCCCAGTGAGAATGGCACATCTTCAAACGACTAGCAACAACAAATGTTGGTGAGGATGTAGAGAAAAAGGAACTCTCCTGCACTGCTGGTGGGAATGCAAACTAGTACAACCACTATGGAAAACTGTAAGGAGGTTCCTCAAACTGCTTAACATGGAGCTTCCCTGTGACCCAGCAATTCCACTCCTAGGTATCTACCCAAAAGACACAAAAACACTGATTGAAAAAGATACCTGCACCCCCATGTTTATTGCTGCTTTATTTACAATTGGAAAAACATGGAAGCAGCCCAAATGCCCAAAAGTAGATGACTGGATTAAAAAGATGTGGTACATATATACAATGGAATATTACTCAGCAACCAAAAAAGAGAAACACATGTCTTTTGCAGCAGCTTGGATGGAGCTGGAAAAGATCATGTTTAGTGAGATAAGCCAGAAAGAGAAAGAAAAATACTGGATGATTTCACTAATAGCAGGAGTATAATGGACCAGGCGAAAAAATAACAAAAATAATGAACAACCATATACCAGAGACACTTTGCGGGGGTGGAGTGGGGAATGGGATCAAAAACGGGGGTGGGGGAGGGAAGTGCACTGGATTATGGTGATAGCACACGGGTGACTTGGTGATGGGAAACCCTCTGGGATTACAATTGAGATGGAAAAAAAATTATACAAAATGATGTAAAAATAAGCTTGTAAAATTAAAAACAAAACAAAACAAAACAGCAAAGAAAGAAGCTATTTCTGCCAGGCAGTGTAGGGATGACATAAAGAAGAAAAACAACGCCTGCATCCCTGAGGAGAATATGGTCTGCAAGAAATTTAAGAAAGAAAAAAGTGTGAATCTCGAAGTTGCTGTTCGTGGTGGACTGAATGTTTATGTTTCCCCCAAATTCATATAGTTAAGCTCTAATTCCCACTGTAATGGTATTTGGATGTGGGCCCCTTGGAACATGATCAAATGATGAGGGCAGCCTTCAGAAATAGGATGAATACCTTTATAAGAAGACTTAGTGAACAGAGCTTTTGCTTTTCCTACCAAGTGAGGCTGCAAGGAGAAGCCAGCTCTGCAAGTCACGACTCTCCCCAGAATCCAGACATATGACACCATGATCTCGGATTTCTAGCCTTCAGAACTGTGAGAAATAAATATTTGTTATTTAGCATTTCCATATCTTTCCACCAGGGATCATTCACCAGTTTTGCTATAGCCAAAAGATACTTTATCATCTTTTCATAATATGTTCAATTTAGGTTAGGAATAGAGCTTAGGGTAGGGGGGGGGATAAAAATGTGCCTAATACAAGCACATTTTTAAAAAATTTTCCTTGGAACACAAGAAAATTTTCCAAAAAATTTCTTCAGGACAACGCTGACCTAAGGAAAAATACTTTCTTTGAAAAAGGCATGAGGGGCCCTTTCTGATGGTGCAAGGGGTTAAAGCACAGCACTATGAAGCTATCTGCAGCCACTGAGTCATGAGTTTGATCTCTAGCCAGGGAGCTGACCCACATGGCACAGCAGACCTCTCCTGTCTCACCCGCTGCTCCCCTCAGCAGTGTACTTCAGTCCATCTGCCTGTTCAATTGATCTCCCCACTGTGTCTCTGGTGGATCCTCTCACCACCACCCCTGCTTCTGGCCTGTACCCCAGCTCTTGTATGCATAAATAAATAAACCTTTAAATAAATAACCCTTTAAAACCTTTTAAAAAAATAAAACATATTTATTAAATATTACCTCTAGACTAAGTTATTCACATAATACATTACTAATCACTTAAATACAATAAAATAGTTGACCCCAATGATCATGTATTGAATGAATCAGAAAGGACATTTTAGAAAGATATGCAAGAAAGAAAAATGAACAATATTTATCAACTGTAACTTACCAGTTCAGTGTTAAATCAGTTTTAAAAATATAACTGAAAGGTTCGGTGCAGTAAGGACACAAAGAGATAGCGAGGTCAATAAAACCAAAAGTAGGTTTATTTCTGCGCCACGGGAGAGGTTCACTGACACTAGAGAGAGATGAGGTCAGAGATGGCGTACTGAGGAAAGGGTCAGAGGGGTTTTTATAGGCCTAGGGAAAGGAGAGAAACGGCAGGTGGAAAATTTTGACATGGAACTGGAACTTACTTTCTGTCGGCTGTGTTAACCGGTGTTGACAAATATGGTGGTGACAAGTCATTAGGCTGTCGCTCCCCAGTAGCTGCTGCTGCTTGGGGCAACTGCTCCTTCCCTATGCCTGTATTTGGCTGTCCCTGAACCTTCAAATAACTACCTTGTTAAAATATAGAAATTTGGGCCCTCCCTGGTGGCGCAGCAGTTTAAAGCGCAGCACTAAGAAGCTAAGCCACTTCTGCATGAGTTCCATTCCCTACCAGGAGGTGACCACATGGCGCGGCAGACCTCTCCCGACCTGCCTGCTGCTCCCTTCACCAGTGTACTTCCTCGATCTGATCTGCCTGTTCTCTCCCCACTCTGTCTCTGGTGAATCCTCTCACCTTCTCACACCTCTGGCCTGTACCCCAGTTCTGTATGCACAACTAAATAAATTTTAAAAACATATACAGAAATGTTATGAGAGACTTTCCATTTTGTTAGGAAACTTGTTTTTGAAACAGTTATTTCAGAAAATTTGATAACCTTGCTTGGTGGTTATCAGCAATTTTTCTGTGACACTTCAGGATAAGAACAAAGTTTCTTCAGAAGTTGGGGAGGAATATAAATTACATTCAGTCTGGGCAATGCTGTAAAATGGAACCCAACAGATTCAGAGCAGAGTCTTTTGCCCTTCCTCTCTGCTTTCTTTCTTAATCT